GTGCCAGTTCGGCTTCTCTGGGGAGGGCATTTGTGAAATGCATTCTCCTTAGTAGCCACCTAATCTAATCAGCAGTGACACCCAGAAAAGAGTCTTCAAAGGTGGGTGGATGGGAAGATGGGAGGGGGCAACCTCCAAGTAGCTTACCCCAAGCCACACAGGGCTTTACAATAGATAAATACTAACCCTCTGAATTAGGCCTGGAAACAGAATGTTAGCCAGGGTAGATTATAAAGCACTGACAGAACATGATAAAACTGGCATGGCATGATAAAACTACCATTTTTTTTCAACTAGCTCAAGTTTCCAAGCACTTTTCAAAGAGAGATTTTCAACAATTTAAACATGAGGTTAGCAGAGCATAAATAACAGTAGTGAGGCAATCTTTGTCCAAATAGCAACCTGGAACAGGGTTCCACAGTAGCACCTGCTCCTTGAAGTACCCTTCCTTCTACCCCTTTATTTGGAAAGCCCCAGGAGTTGTGTGCTTCTAAGAGTTGCTGAAAGCACACCTCTTTACAGATGCCTTCTCTGACCATTGGCTCCCATTCTGCAGTCCTACGCTTCGCACTAATTTTGGTTTATTTTGCTGTGTCTGGTGCTTCTCTGCCTGGATAGGGTTTTAATTTGTGTTTTCCAATAGTTAGCAATATAAAAATAATATAATAAATATAATGAACTAATAATAAGAAGTACCCACCCTTGAAAGGATTTCCATGTAAATTCAGCATTTTTTTTTTTTTACTACACTCTGTCACCAGGATCAGGGGTTGGCAATTGTGTCTACCAATTTGCCAGTTTGGCCCAATCTGGCCCTGTGTTGTCCATGTGGGCATTTGCCATCAGAACTAGACGTATGCATACATGTCAAATTTGTGTAGGTGATTTCTCTAAATCTACAATCTAGTCTAGATCAACCTTTCCCAATCTGGCACCCTCTAGATCTTTTGGACTCCTGCTCCCAGAATCCCCGGCCGGCCAGCCCACATGAAAGGCAGGGGCAAGAGCAGCAGCACATGTTGAACCAGATTTGAAATCTAAAGTATTGCCCAAATGCAGTTCCTGATGTAATTTATAGCTCTGATGTTAGAGTATGTGCACCAAAACAAACAAAAAACCACAATTACCCTCTTGCACTACACACACCTTCCCTTCCCTTCCCATGAAGCTTTTTATATTCCTTTCTGGAGGTTTGTGGGGATTTTTGAAATCCACAATTAAACGACACTTGCACAAGAGAAGCACTGGACTCAGAGGAGTCTAAAGAAAGGCATCACTCATGCAAGCATCTTGTACACCTGTGGTCTGCATCGCTCTGAAATGAAGTCACCGTGTTGTTGACCAGAAATATTTGTCCACTGCCTCACTGTTTCTGGTGCCAGTGATGCTTCCAAAATACCTTTAAATAAGCATCAAGGACTGCCAAGTTTACACATTTTTTCATTTTAAAAGGCACTCTAAAATTGATATCTAGGGTTGATACTCTGCCAGATCATCCTACACGCAGTCTGAAGTTCTGCATCTGGGAGGGCAGCACTACAATCAGCCATCCTCAGCCCAGCGCCCTCCAAACGTCTTGGGACTACACCTTCCATGATGTTACAACACAAATCCATGCAAAATTCAGCTAACAGGAAGCTTTTGCCAAGAGTGGTGGAACCCTCTATACAACCTGCATAACAGAACGACTGCACTGTTGAGGCTTTGAAAAAGCATACTATTTATTCACAAATGAAACATGCCCTGACAAGTTCATTTCCTTGTGTGATTAGCTTTGTCAGGGTCAGATTACAGGGTTCACAATCTCTATATGATCACATCATATTTAGAGGCCGTAAGGCATCTCAGAAACTTCACATTTTGCCCTTTTCTCTAGTCACTTCTAAAGTGAGGACACACATTAGGATTGCATCTCCCACTTCTGCCCCTTCCTTTAACTCCAAATCCATTGCTGTGTAGCTTGCCTATATCACTTCTAGTCTGCTTTTGTCAAACTTAAGGCAGAACCCAATAACGGATGATATTAAAGACACACAACACAACAAACTGCTGCTGTTTATTCTTTCTTTTAAATTCTTCTATGTATGGAAATTTGACCATTATTCTTCTATTGTGCATGTTTCATTTGTTTCAAGGGGTTCCGAATGTGTGTGAGCAGTCTTTACGATAAGGGGCCCTCTGAAAAGATGCATCTTATCATTCTCCTATAATTACTTCTTCTTGTATTGGTGTCTCCCACATAGGGGGGCAGTTTAGTAGAGTATGTCTTTATGTACCGTGTAGCCTAGATTAGTCCCTTCCTTTCTGGCACTCTAAATTTCCACCAGTAGGGCTGATATTCCTCCAGATCATCCTACATCCAGTCCGAAGTTCTATGTCTGAAAGGTCACTACCGCAATCAGCCTTCCTCAAGTCAGTGCCCTCCAAATGTTTAGGGGCTACAGCTTCCATCATTCCTAACCGTTGACCATGCAGGCTGAAGGTGATGGGAGCTGAAGCCCAAAGCATCTCTTTTCCCCACCTCAAGCCCTATCTAGAAGGTACCAGCTTGGGAACCACAGAAGGCATAAATAGATCCTTTTCAACTTTATATTAAGTTTATGTTCAGACAGCCTACGAAGGAGTGATAAATAAATAGGCATATAGACAAATAAATTGGCATCGAGCAAATTGTCTAATTTCACCCTACTGGTCCTTGGACCCTACTTCATAGCCCATTCAGCCCAACACATACCTCATCCCCAAGTTCTGCCCATTCACAACCACCTTAGTTGGGCTGTTCTTTCCCCAAGTAAAACATCTGGCCTCCCACCCCCAGGGATGCTGCACAAGCTCCCCCTGAAAGGATTTTCTTAAAACATCTGGATGCATGTAACTTCAACCAACAAAGTTGTTACTAGGCATTGTAATCCAAAATGCACTAAACAAAGCTGGCAGCTTGTAGTAGCTAATATTCTGAGTAATGACAAGAGGGACCCAAAAGAATAGAAATTCAGGCTGTGCCTCCATTTGTTGCTGTGTTGCGATGGAGAAAAATCAAAGCAAGGATGTTGTGAAGAGTCATGAGATTTAATCTTTATGTAAACCAGGGATGGACAACTTCTTCCCCTCTAGATGGCATGATCTACAGCCCCTAGCAGTCCTCATTTGCTATACTGGGTAGGGATAATGAAACTGTTGACCAAAACATCTGGAAGACAGCAAACAGCCTAATTAGATCAAGCCTACTGATCTAATTAGTTCAGGTGATGGCACAAGAAATCAGGCTCCACCCAACTGTTCACAGAACAAAATGACCACAAGCCTTCCAAAAGGTCCTTTGATATCCATCATTTTACTATTCCGTGGCTGTCATGTGGCAAAAAACTATGTCTTTCTGCATTTATCCTTCTCATCTCTTTTAATATGCTTTATAGAATTCTGACGCACACAGCTTTAAACACAGACTTCCAGCTTGTGGAAGTTCACTATGTGCAATGTTAGTGTTTGGCAACAATCCATGTGGAGTTGCAAGCTCTCTTTCTCAAAAAAGAAAATGGAAAAAATAAAGTCCTTTGTGTCACCACTGACAGCCTGAAAGGACAAATTGCTCCCAATTTCCAACAGCTTTCCTGATGGATCACCTAGTGTCAGTTGTTATTCAGTCCAAGTGGTTCAGAAACTTCAACTACTGGTTTAAATGTTGAAAGAGCATTTATGTGACACCACAAATACACACACATGCAATCGTCGATGCACAGAATGGCACATATACCATCAGGTTAACTATCAGTAGAAGCAGGGCTTTTTTTGTTACCTGCGCAACAAATTTGGAACTGCTTAAGAGTGGCTTCTGACCCCTTTCTTCCTCTTTTAAGAATGATCTTTCTAGAGTTCTGAGAGGGAATCAAGACTTGTTATGTGTGTTTCCTTTTCATTCTAGTATTTTTTTGGTTTAATGGTTGCCTTTTTTCTTTATGCTGATATAAGCAATTCTGGGTATCTTTTGTGGCAAGAAATGAATAAGGAATTAAAAGAGTTTCATTTGGGACTATTAGGTGTGGTTTTACAAACCAAACCAAACCAAACCAAACCAAACCAAACCAAACCAAATACATAAAGCCATTTTAACGCCTGTATTTGGTGTCTGTCATAGTCAAAGTACCCCATTAAAATAGGTGCATTTATGAATCAACCCTCAGCATCATGCTTCAGGTGACATTACCATCTAGAATCTTCAAACATGAATATAATTTGCCCAGGACAGGAAACCAGAACAATGGAAAGAAATTTAAGGCCCTGGAGATGACATTTCAGCGTGATCTTTAAGATCAACCACTACATACTCTTAACAAGGCCACAATGATACTGCAGGGACTCCTGGAAGCTACCCCTGAAATATTCCTCACCTGGAGATTTATCAAAGCATGAAAATGAAACCATGGAAGATTTCTTAGTTGGTTTTTGGTGGCCAAGCAACAGGCATGAGGCAGGAAACACAATTGGCTTAATGTCCACTCCAAATCCTTGAATGGAGCAAGCTGTGCATCAAAATGAACGAAAGATTAAGGAAAAGAGCTGGGGGGGGGGGGGAGTGTGGCTAAGTGCTTGAGCAGAGACTTGCGGTGCTTCATGCTCAAGTGCATGGAAATGTTGCAAGGTTCAATCCGCAGCATTTCCAGAAAGGGCCAAGACACAATCCCTGCCACTAGCAGCCGATCTTGACAAGAAGGGTAATTTTGGACCATTATATGGTAGTTTCCTACATATAAGCACAACTACCTTTCAACCCTTAACCAAATCATAAATATACACAGAAACAGCCAGAGGGTGCATTTGTCCCTGTGCATGACAGAGAGAAAACTGGCTTTGCCACATCTTTGCAAAAGTGAGCAAAGAATATGAATTTTATCTAGATGCCATGACATGCCCGTGACTTTCTGTTATCTTCAGACAACCCATACAAAATACAGACTCCCAAATCAAGAAGATTGATGCCAGATGTGCAACCACCAGGTGTCTTGAAATTTTTAAATATAACATTTTATTGCGTAGATTGTTTGATACAGAACAGCATTATTTTCATCACCTTGAATTTGGAAGTTAACATACAACTGAATAAGAAGAGGAATAGAAGTACCCAAACAAAATGTGTGATTCTCTGTTCATGTGGCATAAACCAGTCTTGTACACAACTTGTAGCAGCAGTTTTTAAAAGTTCCCTTTCGAAAAAATAATTAATATATTTATATATATATATATATATATAATATATATATCTATGAATTCTACACACTAATTGTTTCCTTGAAGGGGCTGAAAGTTTTGGAACCAAAAACTTTCGTGAGTGGAGAAAGTGGTGGAAAGACATCAAGCCTTCTCCCCCACACCAAAACCTTCCACCAGCAAGACTAGAGTAACCCCAGGAGGGTGTGAGAGGAGAACCTACAATGGAGGCTTTGGCTCTTTAAACCTATTTGGGGGATAGCGAGGGCTGAAAGAAACGGAGGCAAGAATTATTACATCACAGAAGTGTATATCACTTATTGCCTTTCCAGGTCTTTCAACCTGGGAATTGCTTTGAGGGTTCAAGGACCTTGTATCATCCTCCTGAACTGAACACCAGTTCCGCAATCCAACCAATGTGTGTGTAGAGGGGAGGCGTTCATGTAGCAAGGAGACTTGTCACGGAACATGGAAGTAACTCCAGCACCCACTACAGAGTGATGTAAGAACTGAGGCAGTAGAAGGTGACTGGGGACAGAGGGCGGGGGGAATCTAAAACTGGAATTAAACCATCAACAGAGCTAGCTCCTGGTCGGCTGTGCCACTATAGCTGCAAACATCAATTCTAGCTTTAATCTGGCTTCCTTTTTTATGCTTTCACAGTCAAGTGCTTGTTGTAGTGATTGAAATCTCACTATTAGCTCCATTGCAAACCCAACAAGAGAATTTCAGGAAAATACAATTTTTTTTAAAGCCCTGAGAGAAAAAGAAAAAAAATGAAAAAAATTTAGAGAAACAAATTAGCTGAACATGCAAAACTAAGCCTAAGATTCACCCATACTTTAAACACATTATACATTTCACAGTTTAACATGGGGAGGGGGCAGTCTGCAGATGCGAGGAGGAGGGAGGGAGCAACAAAGGGTGGGAAACCAGGGGGTTCCTTCCTCCATCAAATGCAACTAATTAAAACTTAAGTAAAATGTGGCAAGATTTTATAATCTACTAGGATATAGATAAAGGCTAAATAAAGCTTTAAATCAATAATGATTATTGCTAGCAGATGTCCCGGCAGGGTGCTGGGAAATTATTTGCTACATTATTCCTGCAGCATAAAGTTTAGTTAGTTCAGGGCTGTCAAGTTCTGCCCCCTGCCCCAAGCCAGAGGTGATGTATTGCAGCCTGTTAAGTGGACAAGGAGCTCTGCAGCGCGGCCCACCCAGGCTTGGAGTGGGGCAGTCTGGACAGTCCTGGTTTAGTTAATGGCTTCTCCCGCACAGTATCGCGCAGTTTAGTGTGGAGAGCTGCAAAAGGCCAAAAAAAAAAAAAAATCTCAAGAACAAAAATACCCCCAAATAATAATAATAATTATAATAATATAATAACAATAAAAATTAAGGGATGCATAACTTGGCTTTGATGAAGACTCATTAACAGAAGATTTTTAAAGGAATCATTGGTACTTATTTTTCATTAATCTGGAGGAATGATTTCAAAACTGTTCCTTGTAAAATATATCCTCAACCCAAAAAACCCCCAAAAAAACAGATCTATACCTCACCATTCCCTGCTCCACTCTTCTCATTCTATAGGAAATTATCAACTCCAGAATGATGATCTCCCACCTCCTCTTCCTGTGCAGTCTGATTTGAACCTCTAGGAAGTAGTGGATAAATAGATCAGTGTAATGCTCCTTTTTTCCCATTTTGCAAAAGCGCACAGTAGAGTGTATTACATCCCACCGTAACCTGGTACCCTCCAGGTGATTGGTGCTTCAAGTTCCCAACAGCCCCAAGCTAGCATAGCTTGGTCACAAATTCTGGGAGTTGAACCTGGAGGGCACCAGCCTGGGAAAGGCTGGTGTAGTATCTTACTCCCACGTAAGCTATCAATGTTGCTTGTGCAGAAGCATCATTTGAGGTACTGAGCTTGAAGGCATGAAAGGAAAACAGTGTGAACAAAAAGGGGCCAAAGGAGAGGAAGAGCAGTGAGCCTCTGGAAATACTGTGCTGACGCTTGCCCTAAGGGGCAAGACACAGAATGGGGGGGGGGAGTAAAGCATCTGCAAAACCCACATCTATTAAGTTGCAGTGGTAGAGTGCTCGCCTGACTCACAAGCCAATCTGCATGAGAATTTTTGAGTGAAGTCAGCCGAAGGCCAATGGCAGGCAAGGGATGTGGTCTGGCGGAACCCACAGGTGCTTGCTAATAGTGAGAAGGGGAAGTGGATGCACAGAGTTGCACTACCTGCTTCGAAATCCTACATTCTTCCTGAGGAGAAAGCAACTCATCTAAGCACAGAGAACACAGCCCATGTAACTGGGAGATGATTTCAACATTCTCTCCCCACCTCCTCCAGCTCAAAAAATGCAGAATCAGAAACAACAACCTGAAGTTACAAACTGACATCATCTTAGAGCAAATCTCACAGAGCCACTAGCACTCATGAAACATGCTTGCAAAGTCTGTGTCAGGCACTAGCACCTAATGGTGGGCATGTGACCCACAGTCATATCCTCAGCTGTTTGCAGATCTATACTTCCAACTTTAAATGTAGATGCAAGGAGCTCACAAAGTCATCTTTAAAACATGTCTAAGGAGAAGGCAGCACTACTGAAAGGCAAGCAAGTTTCTTGCTCAGAATAGATGGGTTTTGCTTCGGGGTGAAAACAAAGCTTACACTGCAGCACACCAACAGAAACGGGTCTGTGGATTGCAGCCCTAATTTGGGAGACTTGGAAAAATCTCCTAACGCTAGCAAAAGGGGATGTAGTCCACGCCCATCTGCCAGCATTGCTGAGCATTAGGAAAACCTCCAGAAGTTTATGCTGTCAATCTGTTTTATGTTATTTGTTATTCCCAGTAGTATTTACTGTCTTGCTTTAAAGCACATTAAGGTAGCAAGAACATTTAAGGCTTTACATTTTAAACTTTTCTTAAATTTTCTGGAAGACTGAATCAGAAAGTAAAAAAAAAATGCAACTATTGCAGTTTCAAACCATACTGACTTCATGGTATTTGTGTGCCTTCTACATGCAACTGGGAGGAACCTCTTCCCTTCACATTCTTCTGCATGCCAGCTTGCCTTTAATCCATGCAGTCCATCTTTCTTTCATTAACTCACACTGAACAGTCACCACTGAGATGGACCCCGCTCCCCCGTGCATTTCTAATAACTACCAAGGCTCCACTGATGCGACCAACCTGAATATACATAGTGGAGGGGAGAGAAATGGGATCACAGCAAGCCCTGCATTGCCTAGTTTGGCCGTGTGAACAAAACATGTGCAACCTGCATGTACTTGTCCATGCAATCAGAGACCCCGGTTTGTGCAAGATCCCGGACCATGCATACAGAGCCATACAGTTTCGAAACATGTGGAGAATCCGAGGAGCTTGCCGCTAACATCCCATTCTCCTCCAACCTTCACACACGCACACAACCTATGTCTGTTTGGTTTACCTGGACTGGTTGTGTGATCAGGGCTTTAATTGGTCTCCATTTGATAATGTACTTAGACGAAAAGGGCTCTATGTAACACAGGAGAAAAGATGCAAACCCAACAGGGAGAGTTGGTGAGACATAAGATCAGGATCATTTAAGCGGGCAATCCAAGCTGCGTTGTAGATTTCCGTAGGCAAATATTGCCCATTGGTTTCTGCTGAACGCAGAGGTTAGCAAACTGACAAAATTTATAAAATATTATAACAATAATATACTGAAGCACAAATCAAACATATATATATAACAGTGGGTACATTATTTCCATAGGTTTTTAAGTTGCTATGCAACTCTTTCTGTATAGTCCTAAGTCCACAATGGCCAGAAAGAGCCTTTAACAATAGAACAGTAGCTAGAACAGGATTGATGCTAATGTGGGGAGAGCAGGGAATAGACGTGAATGAGGCTGAAAATTTTGTTTTTCTTGGTTTTGGCTTGGACCAAGTTTGAAACCTTAATCAACCTGGAACTGGTTCAACTCTCCCCCATGTGGCAAATAAAAAAAGTCTAGCAAGAAAGACCAAAAACAAACAAACAAACAAACAAAAACCTAAATCAACACCCTATTTTTAGTTCTTCTGTTGGGGATTTCTTAATTTTTTCCAGTTATTGGCTGCAGTTTCCAAGGGCTTCCTTGCCCCACTGACCCCTTGTTTCCAGCTCAGAGAACACACAAAAGCGGCTATATCACAGATATGCAAGAACAATCTCACACACCCCAATACAAAAGGTAACATTAATGCTTAAATGGAAAAAGGTCCTCTCCAAATAACTTCATTAAAATATTTTTTTAAAAAATCATCTTTTTTGTTTTTAAAAAAAATCTATGATACCAAAAGACCTAATAAAGTAGTAAGGCACTCAAAACTGTAGTCTCTTGCATTATTTATACTGAAAGACTTATGGCACTGAACCGAAACTGCCACCCTCCCCATCCACCCCTGCCCACTCCTGCAGCACGAATGCATGTCGACTCAGCATCTTAAAACAGTTTGCACCAGCAACCGTCTTCTGTGTGCACTGGATCTGTTTGCTGGGGAGCTGCTGATGCCAGAGCAATCATTCAACTTCCAAGAGCTGAGGCACACTCTCCGCAGAGGCCAGAATGTGACTCATGGAAGATTTTTTGTTGTGAATCTCCAGCAAGTCCTGAATAAAGCCTGACGGGCTCCCTCGATCGCCCTTCCCTCGAGATTCCAGATCTTTCGCCGTTGGCTTCTGTGCATTCTTGCTGGGTTCTGCAAGACAAAGACCAGCTGTTCGAACAGCTGGCTGCTCTTCCTTGCAAAGGGCATCCTTTGCAGCATTGGCCAGGTTCTCCCTGCGGCTCCGGGTGACGGGCGAGTGACTTCCAAGCCCAGCAAGGGGGTCGCACTCGTTTTCTGAGACGGGATTGGTGCTGCTGTGGAGAGACTCGTTTTCACTATCCTCCTCCCCTCTCGAGCGGGGGTTTTCTCTGTCACTCTCCTTCTCGTGGTTCTTTGTACTCTTCAGCTTCTGATGGATACGCTGATGGCGAACCAAACTGTGCTTCAGAGTAAAGGTCCGTTCACAGGTTTGACATTTGTAAGGCCGCTCCCCTGAGATAAAGTCAAGAAAAAACAAAACACACACAAGGGCATAAAATCCCCCTTCTTTCTTTAAGGTCTTTCTTTTATCCTTATGCTCTCTTTCCCCTCCCACCTCTCACTTTTTAAAAAATGCAGAATTACAGGCTCTGTATCACACAACTCAATTTAGTGGACATTGACAGAACACTCGGCATAATGGTGACACATATCAACTTAAATTCATGATGCTTGGAATATTTTCCCTGAGACATACTTAACTATCCCCTTTTTAGGCTGTAACAACTGCACAACAATCTGGTGTGCACAACCCAGAAATGAGTAGCAATCCTGGGAACCCATAGCTTCTCTGAGGAATGCTCTTGCCCATGCTGAGTTGTTGTGTCCACTGAATGCAGCAAAGCTACCTTGGCATGCTGTATTGGGAAGGGTGAAGAAGCCCCTTCGCAAGAGCAGCAAGATCTACTGTGTCTCATTTTTACAATCTCCCCAGCGACTACCCTTCCACCATCGGTAAAAAAGCACTTTGGAAGGACCGTCATTCATTCCTTGGCTTTTTATTTTTCACTCTATGGTCTCTCAAATGTGCTATTGGGGTTGTGATGTTTATTTTTCTATTTTTTGTCAGTCCTTGGCAAGTGTGCACTTATGGCTATCTTACATGAGTAGTCTTGCCTGTTCACTTTCATTGTCAGCTGCAGCCCTGCAAAGAGAGCCGTGCAGAGTGGAGCAGGTGACAGAGTGACATGGCAGGACTGCATGTAGGCTCATCTGTGCACAAATTAAAAGCACCAATATGGGAAGGAAAAGTGGCAAGGAAACATGTACCCAAAGGGGGAGCAATATTTATAGAATCATAGAATAGTAGAGTTGGAAGGGGCCAGAAGGCCATCAAGTCCAACCCTCTGCTCGGTGCAGGACTCCAAGTAAAACCATCCCTCTCAGACAGCTTTTGAGTTGCATCTTGAAGCCTCCAACATGGAAAAGCCTACAACCTCCTAGGTCATGGGTTCCATTGTCAAGCTGTTTTCACAGTCAGGAATTTTCTCCTGGTATCTAGCCAGAATCAGGCTTCCTGTAACTTGGGCCTCCTGTTCCATGTCCTGCCCTCTGGGATGCTCAAGAAAAGATCCTGCCCGCCCTCTTCTTGACAGCCTTTCAAGTACTTATAGAGTGCTATCATGTCTTCCCTTAGTCCCATCTTCTCAAAGCTAAATATTCCCAGATCTCTTATTCTGTCCTCACAGGACTTGTGTCCAGTCTCAGGATCATCCTTGTTGAACCCCTCTGAACCCTTTCCAGCTTGTCTGCATCTTTCTTAAACTGTGGTGCCCAGAACTGGGCACAAACCTCCAGATGAGGCCTAAACAGTGCTGAGTAAAGGAGAACTAGTATGTCACATGATTTAGAAGGGACTCTTGTATTAAAGCAGCCTAAAAGACCATTTGTCCTTTTTGCAGCCACTTCACATTGTTGACTCATATTCAGCTTGTGATCTACAACCATTCAAAGATCCTTCTCACTCACAGTATTGTTGAGCCAAGTATTGCCAATGTAAAAATGGATCTGAATTATTTTTCTTAGGTGCAAAACTTGGCGTTTGTCCCTGTTGGATTTCATTCTGTTCTTCTCAGCTCAGAGTTCCAACCAATCAAGATCACCTTGAATCTTCTTTCTATCTTCCAGAATGTTACCTATCCCACCCAGTTTTGTGTCATCTGTAAATGTGACAATCGTTGTCTGCCCTTCCTCATCCTAATCAAAAGTGTTGAAGAGCACTGGGCCCAAGACTGAAAACTGTGGTACCCCACGTATTTAAACTTTGTTTATTCAAGGTTTTTATGAACTGTTCATTAGTAAACACTCTCAGAACAGTGTACACTTGTTACTTTCCCCTATTTGAGAAGATGCCATTGATGAGCACTCCTTGAATCTGATTCTGTAGATACTGTGGATCCACCTGATTGTTGGGCCATCTAGCCCACTTTATACTTCTTTGCTAATCAGGATATCATGTGGCTTTTTGTCAGAAGCCTTGCTACAGTTAGCTTATGTCCACAGCATTCCCACCGTCCATCAGGGAGGTTACCCAATCAAACATTTTCTCTCATGACAATGTAATCCTGTGCCTTTCACGTGTTAAACTGACAGCTTTCAGTGTGCACTGCCTTTTTAACACTTCCCCAAATGTCCAGCAACTCCATAGAGGAGTGATATTAACTCCCCACTCTCCTTTTCGCAGTTCCCTTTTGAAGCACTTACTTCTGCAGTTCCCTAATTCTAAAAATGCAAAAATATCTGCAAATGTAATGGCTAAGAAGTAAATGGAAGAGAAATTTGTATAGCTGCTAAAGGATGAGGAGAATTAATTTCCCCACCAATGAAACTAAACAGATAAAGAAGTGGAACAGATAGAAGGAAGTACTATTCCCATACAGGTCACACATACTTCAAGCTCTGGAATTTGCTTCTATTGGGTGCAAGGACTACCACCAACAGGCAGCTTTTTATAAAAGTCTACATAAATCCATAGAAGAGAATGGCAATCCGTGATGGCTAGTTATGATGGCTATGTTCTGCCTGGGGAATTGAAGTGGGAAGGCACTCTTGTGTTCATGCCCTATTTCTGGGCTTGCCAGGAACGCCTGGTAAATAACTGCAGCAACCAGGATCCTTGGCTGCTTGATCAAGCACAGCTTTTTTTATCCCAACACCAAAGATGGGAGGGATGCTCAGCAGTTTACTTTGGGACATGGTATGCCCAAAGCAAACCTTGCCATTAGCAATCAAATATGTCTGGGCATGTACTATTTCACAATTAAAAATGCTGTTTCTGTGAAAGGGTCCTTGAAAGATAGATGATCCAATGGCACCTTTTATTCTTCAAAATTGCACACTGTGGTTCTGGTCTGAGGGGACACACTTTGTAAAAGCCAGTATCCTGCAAGAGGAGGGAGATTTCCTCCAGCAATTATGTCAAGAAACAAGCTTCCTGGGACTTAAGTACAAGGTGAACATGTATAATTTGTGGATGCCTTTTGCACATCCTGGGTTGGCTCCTGAGTTATGCTAGATCAATTATGCTGATAGATGCAGTCTTTCCTGCCCCCTCCTTCCCATGGCAGCTATCCTACCCCACTGAAAATGCCACACAGAAAGTCAGGAGACCCTGCTGCATGGGGTAAGTTGTGGGCAAGATCCTTGAAGATCCTGCAGAGAAATCTTCTGCAAGTGGAGCCCTCCATCTTGAGGAAGATCCAGGATTCATAAAACCCACCACCACCATGCAGCCCTTTAGCACTATCACATTCAACACTTGTAAATGCAGATTACTTGCACATGCGCCAAGCATACCTCTGTAGCATACTTGCTCCCAGTGAACCGAGAGCTTTCAGAGCAAGTAACTATGGCTGTTTAGACGACTGCAGCCTGCATTTATCTGTTTCCTTCCTGTCTTTAGCCTGCTCTTGGAGAAAAACTGGGCGAGGAGCATTTTTTCTTGTGCAAAACTCTGTATTCTGTGCTTTAACTGAATACCTCATCTGTCTCTCCAGTATGTGCCTGAAAGTGCCCACAATACATTGGTTTTGACTTACTAGACAGATAGATTGTCTTAAAGAAGAACTATAGAGAAATAATTTTGTTGTGCTGCTTGCAACGTAAATACTTATGAGGGACGTTAATTCTTCAACTTTAAGTTTCCTGCAGAAAATGCAGCCAATTCTTGCAAAACTCAGCCAGGGTCACTGATGAAGTTGTTTTCCACTGCAGCCTCAACAAGGCTAAATAAGGTTTTTTTTTTTTTAAGTAAAAATTATTTTCCAAGTGGTGCAGTACAGTCGTGGAAACATGAAAAACAGCCCAACAGCTAATGAAATAACATTTCCTTTTCCAGTTTTCATTGAAGGACAAACAAAAACTGATCAAATGAACAAGAGTGGCGTTTTCCTGTGAGTGTAGTAGGGAAGCAAAACTTGCTTTTTAAATTTTTGCAAAAGAGATACATCAGAATGTATCAAGCTACATATTCTTAGAAGTCATCAATTCCAAGATCCTCACTGTACTAGAGAATAATCACAGCACTGCCATTTGACTTCATACAAATACTTTTACTGTTTATTCAGAATTCCTCTATTTCAGGGTGACTATAATTACATTCCACCCTTTTCTGGGAGTCCTTGAAGTTGTTGGATGCCTGCATAAATAAGCTGTTAGCATGCACATCCTCTAGAAGCACCATACTATCTTGCACCTGTGAACTTTCAGAACAACCGCCATAGGTGCAAACCAAGGATGGGGAACTTCTAGCTGTGGCCCATGGAGTTTGCCCATTAGCCTATGGAAGTCTCCCTCTCAAAGTCTGAGCCTTCCTCTGATGCCCTCCGTGCCTTCTCTGCAGGGAAAGGAATTCCTGCTGTCATGTCCAAACACTGATCAGAGATAACATACTGCCTGCAGTGCATAAGGGATGCATCTCACTGGGCTGGCGCTGGGGGAAGCAGATTCTCCAGGTGCCAGCTGAGTGTCTCTTCATGCACGGTGCACTGCCCTGATCACGACAGCAAACAGTGACCCAAGGAAGAACCAGCATGCTCCACCTTGATTGGAGAGAGGACAGCAGGTAATGAGATCCCTGACCTGGAGAGCTCCAAGGGGAGTTGCTCTTCCAAAGGGCTGGCTGAGTCCCTTAGTTGCTCCAGGCAAATATGTTTTTATAGCAGTAAGCCATAATGCTTAGATATCAATGTTTACTACAATATTAACTAGCAAGGGAAAGTATTTTGATTGGAAAGGCATCCTGAAAGCCTGTAAGAAAATATATTTCTGGTTGTCTAATGCTGTGATGAACTGGCAGGGATTCCTAAGGCCACTATGTCAACTATTCTCCCAATATTTTAATAGTTAAATTGCTTTAATTTGTGGTTTTACACCAAATACTGTGTTGCTGTGATATTTTTTACTCTTACTTTTATTTTTATTCTATTTTATCAATGTTGTTGTAAACCATTCTGAGACGTTTGTGATGAGAGGGTATAGAAAAGTTTTAAACAATCCATCCATCCATCCATCCATCCATACATACATACATACATACTGGGGAGGAGAGTTTTTGGTCAGAAGCCCTTCTCCTCTGGTATCTCACTGTCCCCAAGACTAGTTGAGCTCTACTCAGTCCACCTGGAAGCCTATACTGGGTGGAATTCTAATTTGGACTTCAGGAGTTCCAAATTAGAATGAAAACAATTAGTTTGCCTTTCCTTGAAAGGCAGTCCCAGGTCTTTTAGTAAAACATGTTATAGGCCAAGAAGTCTATCAAAGAGATAATGAATATGGGTGCTCATTTATACCTGTGCTAGCTGCATGTACATGGTTGTACGTGTGTACCGTGTTCATGCCATGTGTTCATGGAGCCTGAACCAAATATTGGGAAAAATTAGTTTCACTGGACCAGTTTCCACTAGGTTAAAGGCACTAGGACAAAGCAGTTATCTCCTTTCTTAATTGTTAACATTCCTGCCCTCCCATTTCACATTATTCTAAAGATTAGAATAATCTTTAGAATAGGGCAGCAGAAAGCTGAAGATCTCTCCCTGCCTTACATAATACACAAAGCAGAACTGAAGAAAGAAGGATCTTGCTTAGCGCAGGAATGAACCCACTAGCTCCACCAAACCAAGCAGCATGGAGATGAGCCATGGCTTGCCAGGGTTATCCCAACTATATCTGGAGATACTAGAGACTGACCCTGGGGCCTTTTCCATGCAAAGGATGTCTTCTACTGTGAAGCTACAGCTGTTCTGCAGTTCTACCTCTGCAAATTAGGCCTGGAAATAATGACCTCCCCCCGCCCCCATACGCAGACACACTTACCTGTATGGGACCTCATGTGCCTTGTCAAGTCTTGCAGAGACCAAAAGCGCTTGTTGCACTCCGAGCAGACTTTCTTTCTCTTATCCGCTTTGGATTCACTCTTAGTCCCACCAACTGCCTTTGGCTTCCTGTCATCATCGCTCTTCTCAGAAGATTTTCTCTCTGTACTCTCCCCTTCGGAGATGCTTTCGCTCTCCTCATTTTCCCTTCCTGTGGCCTCACTGTCCATGGGAGACTCCGCTACCTTAACATCCTTTCCAGGCTCTTCCAGCTCAAGAGAAGGATTCTCCTGAAGAACAGGGGCTTGGGTTCCAGGATGAGCACTTTTGGTCTCCTCCTCACTGCTCTTTTCATCCCTCCTGTCATCGCACACATGAGCCTTTTTGTGCCGGCTAAGAGTGCCAGCAAACTTGAAGGATTTGCCACAGGTGTTACAGCTATGTTTCTTTTCAGCCTGAGCACTGCTGCCTGTGCTCTGGTCATTCTCCGTGAGCTTGAAGTCCATTAATTTGCTAGCAAAATTGAGGTCAAGGCTTCTATTGCTGACAGAGTCTTCTTCTGGCCCCTCCTCATCTTCGCTTAATTTTTCTTGTGCATCCTCATCCCCCTGGGCTGAGTCCATCATCTCCTTCTCTTTGGGGCCACACTCAGGCTCTTCTAGAAGGTCAGTTACCTCCTCCTGCTGGTCTCGCTCACCAGAGGTCAAGTCAAGCGCTTCACTTCCTCCACTTGTGTTTTCCAGATCAGATTGACTGTCTGCAAGAGCAAGCAGAGAAACATTCAACTCTTTATTAATCAGGAGCACAAGAATCATAATGAAGTACCATTAACATTACTTCTAGTAACTTTACCACCATCCACACATACATTGGTTGAGGGTCAGAAACCAACCAAGGATAATAGTGGAAGGCCAAATGGGCATGTTTTATGTTTACTGATATATGCAACTGTATTGATATACCACTGATAAATGCTATTGTATTCTTGGCTTTCCAGTCTAATCAACAGTGTTATGGTCAAACTTGAGCCAAAGTATCTCCAGCCTAATTCACATGTGCACAAACATCAGCATGGGATGGGACTGTCTGACACAGTACAGTACAACAACTGTTCTTTGTTCAGATGTAGTAATTAGCCCATCAATTTTGGAAATTTCTCATAGTTTCTTCATTTCTTCAGTGCCCTAGTGAGAACTGAGAGGACCACACACGGCAAGCTCCTTCAAATGATCAATGAAGCTATTCCCATATGAACCTACCTGGCCCCTTAGATCTGCATCTGAGGCCCTTCTAAGTGAGCCCCTACCTCAGGAAATCAGGAGGGTGGTGACAAGAAGACCACCTTTTTAGGAGTGACATCCCAACCTTGGAATGAGCTTCCCAGAGAGGTTTGCCTGGTGCCCTCTGTATACTCCTTTCAGCATCAGGCTAAGACCTTTTTATTTCACTAGTGTTTTAATTTTTAATTGTTAATCTGTTTGTAATAGTATTTTAAAAGAATGTAGTATGCCTTTTATGCAATTTTTAGTTCTGTTAAGATGAAGTAGGGTGCACTTTTTTCTTATTGTCTTATTGTTTTTTTTTAATATTGTTTTTCTATGGTTTTATTGTTGTATCCTGCCCAGGGAGCTATGCAGGAAATGGGGCAGGCTAGAAATCATTCATTCATTCATTCATTCATTCATTCAATCAAATAAATAAATAGGCTGCCACATTATTCCACCTCGACGTACTCATGCCCACAAGATAACAAGATAACAAGAAAGTAAGAAAATGCAACATTAGAATTTGGCATTTGGATTTCTGGCCCACATAGCATGGAGACTTGCACTTGATCAAGCCCAGCAGGAAATGCAGAAACATTTACAGAGTATATTGATTTTATGCATATGACTAGAATTCACCAAACTTTTCCAAGCGATCCAAATTACCTTTAAAAATGCATGCATTTTATTTTATTAATGTATTTTCAAGGAAGTGAGTAGAAACACAAAACTTTGAAAAGGATCATAAACCTTGCCTATAGAGTGCAACATCATCCAAAATATAAGGCAAGCCGCACAAGGAAATATGATGCTCCTTGCAGTAGAATCTTCCTATCAGTGAAACCTACACACCCTGACCTAACAAGAGGAAATGTCTATACAAGAAAGCTTGTCCGTGTACATATTATTCCTCCAGCCCTGATCCAGAACCTGGGTTGTGTAATATCCCCAGTCTTTAAAAGCTCTTGGATCAGACAAGATAACACAAGGGTGCGGCACCCTTGCACATCTCTTGGTAAGCTTTTTGCTACCAACAGAATGTTTTCCACATCTTATATTTCTCTTGCCAAGAGCCAATGCAGCAATACTCCACCCAAAATCAAGGCAATACCTTCACCAAGACTGGCCAAGCCATCATGAAACTGTTTCCCCCAAGCTCTTTATCAAGGTGGGTGTTAAGCAAAGGGATGGAGGAGAGAGGAGCAAAATACCTGGCTCGATGTTGAAGCCACAGTTTCTGCTGATCTGGAAAACTGAAAATCTTGACCACTACTTTGCAATATTCAACTGGTGTTCGTAATCAACATGTAGCCTGACCATGCACACTAGTATTTTTCTTACGGATCAACAGATTTATTTTTACTGCATCTATTATTACAGCACTCAAGTAATCTTGACCACCTTTATGGTTAGCGTTCTTTGATGTTTTTGAGAAAGCCTCTCTATCCATTGCAAGAACTTAAAGGCCAAAACATGCTAATCTAAGCCTTGAACTCCCAAAGCTGAAATGGCAGTTTAATATCCACAGGGATTTAGAAACTCTGATAAAACAATGTTTAGATTTGCTCTGATGCTGACACACAGCACACATATTTGTGAATAAGAACCTCAAAACCGCCCAAGATAGAGGGATTCCTTAGAACAGAGGATGGCCTTCACCCATGTGGCTGAGTCACACAGAAATAATTAAGCTCTAGATATGTTAAGAAACAATAATGATAAAATACTGGGATTTCAGGAACACTGTGGCTGGCTGGAGCTGTGGAGGTGCATATAGGGGAGACTGAAACACCACAAAGTAATGTGTGTAAGAATAAGTTGTTCACTTTTATGACACAACTCTGTTAAGAGTTAAAAAAATTCATTGCCCCCAATTATACAGAACTCGGACAAAATGGAAGACAAAACTAATCCACAGCAAACTTTCATTATAAATATAGCTTATATTTGCCATTGTAGATTGATAATAGTTTTGTATTATTATGATTATTATTATTATTATTACAAGTACTACTACCACTACTACTACTACTACACTGCATTTATAATGCACCTTTTTACCTCTTGCAAGGAACCTAAGGTAGCATACAAAGTTCACCTTCTCTCTTTTTTAACCTCACAACAATCCAGTGAGGTAGGCTAGATTGAGAGTATGTCACTGGCCCCTAGGAAGCTTCATGGACAAGTAAGGACTGGAAATCAAATTTCTTTTATTCTAAACACCACACCACTCTGGCTCTCAAGTAATTCAGAACCCAAAAATGCACACTGCAGAATAAGATAGCAGTAAAGTCCCTAACAGACTAGTCAGCTTGTAAACCAACTAGTTCAATATGGATTGACTAAAAAAGATTTAAATGATTTCCAGCAGAAAAAAAAATGTTTATCCCAATTTTCTTTTAAAAATACAATTATAACCTACCATGTTAAACATATATGCAGAGAGAACAAAACAAACCAATCAAAAGTTTAAGCATTTTATAATATATTTGGTTTCAAAGAACTTGAATGTATTTAGACACCACAAGTATTTAGATTTTGCCTTTCTGGCATATTTGTGAGCATTTCTCTATTTGTATATAATCCACAGCAGTTTCTCTGTACCCCTTTTAATTCTTCCCTTCAACAGCATTGATCAGCAGCTGGAGAGCTAAGCGGCTTCAATCCAACACATATAAAATAGTACCACATCTACTCCTACGCACAGGAAAAAGAACCTCCTACAAGGCCATCAACATTTTACCTGTTGTCACAGGATCCAAAAAGTCCTAGATATCTAGATGCTTCAGTTCACAGTGCCCACAAGATGAACTAACTAAAATTTGGATGGGAAAATCATTCTCAATGGTTCCCCTGGGTAAATCATTCTCTTTAAGATGACCTTCCCAACCACTGCTCTCCACTCTATGACTTCCATCATCCCGTGCTATCTAAGGGTAATGGAAAGTGTAGTCCAAGTGTAGTTCTGTGCCACACCAATTTGGGCAAGGACATTTTAGGCTACCAATTCAGCTAGGATCTAAGAGAGTCTTCTTACACCACGATATGCCCTTGCCTCTTGCTAGGCCTTCTTGGACACAAAGATTCTTTAAAGAAATCCTATTTCTTCCATTAAGCATGCCTACTGCTTAAGGAATAAGGAACGTAACTCTCAAGGGTTCATTGCTGGTTGGGGAATGATAAGACTTGTCATCCCAAGCACATCTCGATAACACCAAGTTGCTTTCAGGTTACTGCCCCACAAAATTGTTGTCAAGATGCCCTGAACTCATAGGAAGAAGGATTCGCTTCTAATATAAATTTTGATTGTTGAAAAGCAAGGTATTTTTCAAGTGCCTGTGTGGGTATATTAAGCTATTTGTCAGCTTACTACAGACTGCTCCCCACTCAACCCTGCAGCCAGTTTACCTGGTGTTCCCCTTGTGCCACACAGCATACGTTGATTTTTCTTTAAAAGAAAATACATCTTATTTTAACAAAAAGCCCATCTTAATCTTTTAGGGAGACTTTATAAGTGTTAGCCCACTGTGTTGGTGTCCCTACAAGCACAGCACCTAGGAAGCACTAACAATCATACAACATGCTGCCACTTACTTTTTTTTTTTAAGTTTAAAAAAAGCAGTGAAAGTACTTTGCACTGGTAATCAGAGTTCAAACTACATTCTTGTAGCTAAAGGAGAAACTCTTCTAGGGTGAGACAGAGAAAGGAATTCAGTTCTTAAACCTTGAAGTCCAAGAATCTAACTAGGTGGAGTCTCCCAAGCATTAAAAACAGGTCTAACAGAAATGCCTCCATACAAAAGTATAAGGGAAAGGAATATGTTATTTGCATAACAGTCAGTTGGGTCCTGCAAGCACACTAGCTTCAAAGGACTCAAGTTATCAGCAGCTGTTTCTAGCCCCTAAAGGATTTTTTTTTTCATTCATCTAGAAGGTCACCTACTTACAAAATCTAGCTATTGCTACCAAGATCAAAAGGGTAAGTGGCATGTGCTTGTCACCACATACACTGGTCAAAGTATGCAAATAATGCACAAATCACATTGGGAAAACTTGGGAAACTGATCAGTATCTAGAAAGAAAGAAAGAAAGAAAGAAAGAAAGAAAGAAAGAAAGAAAGAAACCACTTCTCAGGCTGTTCTAGTGTTTCATTTTGCTCTTGCCAGGCTCTTTGCTCACAAGTTCCGCAAGTGGCTTGCATAATGCCATATTGATTCCCTGCTGGTGTAACAACTCAACTGAAACATTGTCAATGAGAAGTGTTCCTGCTTCTAACACAACTCTATTATCACTTCTGATTTTTGCAGAATGGCAAGGAAGGGTCTTTTGCTCCAATCCCAAACAGTTTCCGCTAGGTGGAACACTTTAGTTAAAGTTTCCACCCTCACAAGTAGAAGGAGTCAAACCAGTGTTAGCTGAACTTCTCTCCTTTAGTTTTCTGGGATAACTGTGACTTGCTTTCAGTTACCTCTTGGTTGATACAAGCTGTCTTCTACATGGTACTCTTGTTAGAAAATAACTGCAGTCTATGTTTATCTTGGGAAGGGAAAAATACCCAGAACTAAACATCCACAGAGCAAATCCCACAGCAGCACACAAATCTTAGGTTCTGTTTTGAAACACGGTTCTGAAATATTCTATTCCTAAATACTATTCTGAAATAACCTCCACAGTGTCACAGCAGCAGCTGTAGGCTAAGTATGGAGGCCAGTAAAATAGCATCAAATTTGTTCTACAAGAGCAGTAGAGTAACTATGGCTCTCCATACACCCTTTGGCTCCAACTCCCATTAGCCCCATCCAACATGGAATGATGTGGGAATTCATCAGAAATTCATTAGGGGATCAGGGATGACAGGAATTCAAATCCAGCAATAACAGAAGGGGCTCAGGTTCCACCTTCTCACAAACACAAACACACACACACACTCCTAAATCTGATGGAATGTCCTGACCCATACATGCCTGCCTGGACCCTTAGGTCATTGTCAAAGGTCCTTCTCCGGGAGCCAGCTGTAAAGGATATAAGGAAGGTAGCTACTAGGAGAAAGGCCTTTTTGGCTGTGGCATCCCATTTCTGCAACCAGCTTCCCAGAGGTGTGCCTGGCATTGACACTCTATACCTTTCAGTGGAAAAACCTTTTAATTTTCTCAGTATTTTAATTGTTGAAATATTATATTTTTCTGGCACCGTGGATTAATTATTTTAATTATTAATTATTGTTACTGGTTTCATATTCTGTTCATTACTGCTATTGGTTATACATTTTGTTTTTATTGATCATGACTAGTTTTATCTTCTTGTGATATTGGGTTTTTAGATTTAAAATGTAAACTATCAAAAAGAGCCAACAGACTATAGGCACAGTATAGAAATGCTTTAAATGAATAAAAAACCACAAAAACATCTGGAAGATTTTACATGCCTTTCAGCAGAAGCCTTTTTAATATTTTTTATATTGGGTTCATACTTGCTGTACAATTTTTCCCCAGGAAGGAATAAGGACATCACACACAGAAAGATGCATGAGCTCCAGCGGAAACATAAGTTTTGGATGCCATACACACACTTCCCTCATTCAGTAACTGTGCAGGAAACATTATCAGAGGAGGGGCTAATGACCTACCTATTCTTTGCTATCAATAGTTGGTAATACTGTTGGGAAAATTTGGATGAATCCTGTCTGGAAGGCATTACTCATGTGTGCCTTTGCATTGTGGGATCAAATCCTGTCTTCCTTCTGAAAACCAAGCTGTCACTGTTTAAAATGGTATTCCCCCCCTCCTTTCTCTCACCTTTAGCTGTAGGGTACAGCAGGCCATTTTAGCCCAAATATACATTATAAATAGTCATTGTTGGAATTCAGTTTACAATAATCTTTTGATAGCCCAGAGGGCTTCATGTGCCCTGATCATGCAGAATGTTTAGAGGCGGGATAAGGGTCTGAGCTTATCATGAATAGTTTCTAGTAGCTTGAATTTGCATGTCTGAGCAAACCTGGAAATGGGTTCAAGTGTCAATACAGGCAATTAGAAATACTAATCTCATTGTTACAGTGTGATTGACTGACATTTCTTTATCTGTTCTGTATGTGATGACCTCAGAATCTTATTGTAATCTCTGCATTCTGTCATCAATCGCCCTGTACCCGTGTACCTATAAATACCCTGTAATGGTATTGAAGCTTTGCAGCAGAGTTCATCTCTGCCTGCCCGGCAGTGCAGCCTGCATTTTTGTGAGCGTACCACGGGAACCTTGGGGTAAAACAATAAAGCCTCAGATGGTCTGGACGCTTGGTCTTTCCCACGAATCCGAGTTTTAGATTCTGGGATTCTGACAATACTTATTATTACTGATTTAATCATTTCAATTAATTAATAACTTACATTTCAATTGTAGCTTTTCTCCAAAGAGTTCAGAATGGTGTACATAGTCCCTGTCCCTCCGCAATTTCATCATCACAAGAATAAACCTACTTGTAGGCTGGGATGAGAAAGACTGCCCCAAAGTCACCCATTGGGCTTTCATGTCCAAACCTGTCTAGAGTCTCAGCCGGGATTCCATGTCATTTGGAAGATGTGCATCTTCCATGCCATTTTACCACATAATAAATACAAGTCATGTAAAACACAACTACTGTACAATACAATGCTTCCTACCAACCACTGGGGCATTCAGTCCAGAACAGTACTTCTCCACTGACTCAGCAGCATCATCCATTGGGAATACGTTCCTAAAGCTTCCTTACTTCTACTAGGGCACAACTAAAATGCATCTCTACAGGGTCTAAAGAATGACATATCCTGAAGCTTTTGGGATGGTTAAAGCAAAAAGTTTCATGACCACTGGTATGTATTCATCACATCATTAGAAATATCTCCTAGATCTCCACTTTTTTATGTGGGAGGAACTGATAGATTGTAATACACCACGTGCATCAATGCAACTGGCTGGTAATAAAATGCAAATTTTAAATAAATGGGAATAAATTGCAAATATATCCACTTCTCCAAAAAATTAAAAACCCTTAACATTCCTATATACTTTAGATTTCAAACTACTGCAAAATTAGGAATAGATTTCATAAGTCAGTAACAAATCTCCCAAGGGAGAAGGGGTTGCAAACATCCCACCTGGACTTATGAAAAGCGGGGTGGTGGTGCATTTTATTTTATTTTATTTGGAAGCAGGAAGCTTTTGGACATTAGGTCAAGAGATCAACTACTACTTAGTTCTGATTTGATTTTACTGATTGTAAAGCAGTTCAAAAAGACTGAACCAAACACCTTCTCCTGACAATGAGCTCCACCTTTTCCAGCATGGATATACTTTAACAAACGTAAAACTATATTGTGGCTACAATCAGTTAAACTGCGAAGGCAAAGCTGTCAGAAAATCAAACTGGAACTACTCTGGTCACTATCAATTTGTTCTGTAATGAACACACACACCTGTCTCTACATTACAACTCAATCCTACATATTCCAGTGCAAGACTGGTGATTTCCTGTAATGAAAGAATAACCCTTGAAATCCAGCTTCAGCAGGCAGGAATAATGGACTCTCTCTCTCTCTCTCTCTCTCTCTCTCTCTCTCTCTCTCTCTCTCTCTCTCTCTCTCTCACACACACACACACACACACACACACACACACACACACACACACACACATATTCTCCAGCCATGTTCCATCCTACAGGATGTTTTTTCCTGTCTCAAAGCCCCACCTGGAGAAAAAGAAACAGGGAGAAGCCGGTGGAAGGGGAAACAGAGGAAATACGCAGATAGGATTCAGCACCCAGTCCTTCTGCCTGTTCAAAATAGACTTTAAATAACCCCTCAAACCCCCTTTATACAAAAAGGGCACATTTCAACATGTAACATTCATAACCTCTCGTTTGGTCCTTGGATTGCTGAAAAACCAACTAAAGCCTTATTCATTTATCTCAGGGCCCAAAGCAAAAAGGAAAATGTTTCATCTTTAAATGCTGGAACAACCTAAAAGAGCTACCTGTGCTATCATGAGCTGCAGCATCACTTTCTTTAGACTGGGGGATAAGCCCGTTTCTTCTTAGACAGTAGTTGGCAACTCCATGTTTGCGTAAGAGGTGGCGTTCACAGTTAGATTTGGTGGAAAAGAAGGCATCACATTTTTGACAGGGGAAGGGCTTCTGACCTGAATGGAGCAGGGAAAAAAAACAAATTTATCTCTCTTTCTAATGTACCATAGGAGCTCCTGTGTGCCTTCCTATCCCCTCTGCCTTCTTGGTACTACTGTGATTAAAGTTGCAACTCAGTCCTAAACTTATTCACTCTGAATTAAGTTCTATTAACTTCAGAAAGGCTGATTCCCCAAGTAGCACGCCTAGGACAGCAGTTATTGTGCTTTTTCTCATGCATAAGATAAAATTAGGAAGGTTGAACATGCTTTCTGAAATGCAGGCCCACGTAGAATTTTCCAAAGTACTGGGCCCAACCTGAAAATTAGATTAGTGCAATGGAGCTGCCCTTAAGGTTGTCCAGACACTGGACCTGGTGCCAAATGCTGTAGCCAAGTTGGTAACAGGAATCACGTATCACTAGCACATTAAACTTATGCAGTGCACTTGTTACCTGATTCATAAATATCTTTAAATAAATGGGTAAGTTTATGTGAATTAAAAACAGAGAAAGTATTTAACACACTTTAAGAAAATCTCTGCATAGCTTCCTACTGCTCCAGTGCCCTTGTGAGACCCACCACTTGAGCAACAGTGCTTTGGAGCATCTAAAAATAGCCGGGAATGATTGGAAACACTCATTTCTGGAAGAGAGCAGGCCAGCAAAGCATACAGAAGGGAGCACTGCTGATCTGTTCCAAGGTTTCCACTCATTTACAGGGTGACTTTACAGAATGCCAGAGGTCCTCTGTGCAAGCAGGTGATGGAACCAGCTGAAGAGGAGCAGTCCCACTGGATACTGCCCAGTTGTGTATTACAATCTACACTTCAGATGCTGCCAGGTGACCCTTGAAATAACTGATATGCAGAAGACTGCAAGGATTGCAATGTCTCTAGGACTGGTTTACACTGGTCTGAGAATTGCTAGTCTGCAGACTGAATGCAGCCACTGGTGCCCTTTGATTTGGCCTGAACCCTTCACTCAGCATTACAAGAAAGACTCCCACTCATATGAATGGCAGCCTCTTTTCTTTTTCTTTTTTTTAACCTATTGTGTTGGGGGGGAAGGGGTTGCAACTGGGGAAGGAAAAGATAACCCTCCCCATGGACTGCAATTACCCTTGGAATTATCTGTCCCCACAAGGCAATTATGCCTGTTGGGGTGGAGAGTTCCTATTTCTGTTACTTAGCAGAAAGCACTTACCATGCAGAGATGTCTTCAATAAAATGACTTGCTCTTTTGGTGCTCAAGCACATCCAACTTCATTATATTAAGGTATCTCTGCTGCATGTAACTTTCTACAGGGCAACCTTCCCCAAGTTGCTATCCTCTGGACATGCTGAAACACTCGCCTGGAGCCAAACACATCTTGAAGGTATTGGAATGGCATGGCATGCTATGGCATAGTGGTAGATTTGGAAGGGACCTAGAAGGCTATCAAGTCCAACCCCTTGCTTTGCTTCCACATATGGTCACCCATCCAGCTGCAGACCTGCACCTTTCCAGCTTAGCAAAGGTGAATCAAAGATCTCAGCACTGAGACAATATGAACTGGATCCGAAGAAAAATGACAGAAGTGGGTGGGAAAAGATGCAGTACCATAAAGGACAGAACTTCAAGGCTAAGGATTAGAATGCCAATTACTACAATGCCAAGCAGATGAAAACTGAAAAGGACTCCATGCGGCCATTGCTCCGTATAACATCTAACCACCCCAGAAACCTTTGGCAAAGCACTAAAACCCTCTGTACCATCACAGAAAGGCAGAGTTGGAAGGGGCCATTGAATTCAACTCATTCCCTGGACAATGTAGGACTCCAAGTTAAAGCAACCCTGACTTGCTGTAACTTGTATGCCTCCAATGTGGGAAAGCCCACAACCTACCTAGGCAAATGGTTCCATTGTTGTACTGCTCTAACAGTCAGGAAATTTTTCCTGATGCCCAGCCAGAATCTGGCTTTCTGTAACTTAAGCCCGTTATTCCATGTCCTGCATGATGACATGACTGAGAGGACATCCTGGGACTCTTCTGTTCTACAGTCTTTCAAGTATTTGGAAAACACCATTATATCTCCCCTTCAGTCTTCCCTTCCCGAGGCTAAATATGCCCAGTTCTTTCGATCTCTCTTCACAGGGCTTTGTTTCTAGTCCCTGGATCATCTTTGTTGCCCGCTTCTGAACTTTTTCTAGTCTGCCTGCACCTTTCTTGAAGTGTGGGGCCTGGGTGCATAGAACTAGGCACAGTGCTCAAGATGCAAGGCCTTAACTAGTGTTGAACAGAGAGCAATCAGTACCTCATGTGATCTGAAAATTATAATTCTATTAATGCAGCCCCAAATAACTTTCTCGTTGTGTAGCCACATCACACTGTTGGCTCAGTTTCAGCTTGTGATGTACAAGAGTTCCAATATCCTTTTTGCTTGTTGAGCAATGTCTCCTCCTCCTTCTGTGCATTTGATGCTCTTTTCCTAGATACAGAACTTGGCATTTGTCATCCTTATTAAATTTCATTCTTCCAGGTCACGGCTCCAACCTATCAAGAACACTTTGAATTTTGTGTCTGTCTTTTAGGGTGTATTAGCTGTTCCACCCAATTCTGTGTCATCTGCAAATGTGATCAGTATTCCCTGTACCTCCCTTGAAGAAAACTGGGCCTGTGGTTTCCCACTCATTACTTCTCCCCAGTTTGAGAAGACACCCCTGCGGAACACTGTCAAGAGACCAGTTGTGGCGAATTGTGGACCCACCTGATGGTTGTTCCATCTAGCCCACTTTTAGCTAGTTTGTTGATTAGAATGTCATGGGACACTGTGTTAAAACTTCTATGGAAGCCAAGATATATTAGGTCCACAGCACTCCCAGGATGCTTGAGGACTGCATGGAAAGTCATTTGGGAGAGCCAAACCATCGCTCAGTTCCTGGAAAGCCCAAGGAAAGTTAGGAAAACCCTCCCCTGAAGACCACAGGGAGCAGCTGCTCTGTCAAAGCCATTTTAGCCACTATGAGTATAGAGTTATTCCATCCCCCATCCTCCCACACTATTTCCCTGTAGGAATGAGTTCTGAACAGCTTGAATACAATGGAATATGAACAGAGGCTCTTTTAGGGCACAATGCTATGCATGTTCAGAAAGAAGAGAGTACCACGATTCCCAGCATTCCCAACCAGCCATGCTAGATGTGTAATACCAGGAGTTGTACACTAAACTGGACCCTTAAAACAAAAGCACAGAGATGCAATACATCAGGATCTATCAAAGACTCTGATGGGGAAAAGTAGAGCACAGGGCAAGGAGGCATAAACTGCTGAAATAATGCCAAGGATGGCTGTAGTTCCTGCTTCCCCTTAAGACAATGCAGGCTTTATGGAGGATTTCATCACATTACCCTTCCACCATAAGTTGGCCGCTACACTAATTAAGATCAGAATCTGAATTAAGAAGGTTCATGGATTGCTGAAACAGCCTGGATCTCTTACATATGGCTGTCATGCCACTTTGACAGTGCTTTTAGTTTCCAGCATGCGCGCGCGCGCGCGCGCACACACACACACAGCCATTTTCACTGCAAGCAGAGACATGGAAACAGAATATACTTTAACTGCCTGGGAAATTAAGGCTACAGTTCTGCAAAGTTGCACACATCCTTCATGTAGCTTTGTATGTTTTGCATATATCTTAACCTTGTTTTAATGTATAAATTATGACCTTCTGCTGCCACCTTCACCGTTCTGAAAGTACTAAAATTTTAGACGGAAAAGACCAACACTGGTAACTAATTTTATTTATTTGGAATTCTTATATGCTGCCCCCTTCGCATAAGTCTCGGGGCGGCTTCCAACAAATAAATATCAATACAAATACATAAAAACTGGAAACATCCTGGCAAATAATATAAAACCAATGAATAATCAGCAATTAATTAAAATAACATTTAAATAAAAAGGTCTTGGCCTGGCGCTGAAAAACAAATAATGATGGTGCCAGGCAGACCTCTCTGGGGAGCGCATTCCATAAGTGGGGTGCCACCGCAGAAAAGGCCCTCCTCCGGGTACTCACCCTCCTAATATCTTTCACAGAGGGTTCCCGGAGAAGGGCCTCTCCCGCCGATCTCAAGGGGCAAGAGGGCAGATATGGACGCAGGCACTCCTTTAGATAACCAGGTCCCAAGCTGTTAAGGGCTTTATAGGTGATAACCAGCACCTTGAATTGGGCCAGACTTTGATGGGAAGCCAGTAAAGCTGACGGAGGACTGGGGTTATATGAGAACAATGCCCAGTCCCAGTCAGAAGCCTGGGAGCTCTATTTTGCACCATCTGAAGTATCCAGACCATCTTCAAGGGCAGCCCCACGTAGAGCGCATTACAGAACTCTAATCGGGAAGTAACCAATGCATGTGTCACTGTTGCCAGGCAATCATTCTCCAGGTAGGGACGGAGCTGATGGATCAGCCGAAGCTGAAGGAGAGCACTCCTCGCCACTGCTGTCACCTGAGCTTCCAATGACAGCTCTGGGTCGAGGAGCACTCCCAAGCTGCGGACCCTGTCCCTAGGAGGGAGTGCTACCCCATTCAGGACAAGGTCCAGGTCCCCTACCCCGAACCGCCTACCAACAGGACCTCCGTCTTGTCTGGACTGAGCTTCAGTTTATAGGCCCTCATCCAGCCCATTACCTCGGCCAGGCACCAGTTCAGTACAGCCACTGCCTCACCTGGATTGGTTGAGAAAGAGAGGTAGAGCTGGGTATCATCAGCGTACTGATGATTCTGCAGCTCACACCTCCTAATGACCTCTCCCAGCAGTTTCATGTAGATGTTAAATAGCAAGGGGGACAAAATGGAGCCCTGTGGAACTCCATGGCATAGCTGCCATGGCGCAGAGCCATAGTCCCCCAGCACCACCTTCTGGAATTGGCCATTGAGATAGGAGTGGAACCACTGCAAAGCAGTGCCTCCAACTCCCAATCCCACTAACCTATCCGGAAGGATAATGTGGACATACATAGAATACATACATGTG